AWKRAMYTKGRWYMAWWWTYSCCTCGCGTCACGACCCTTCGTTGTCAGAAAAATGATTTAAACTGTCCGCCATTTTTTTTTGTAACTTCAGTCCAATTCGTTGCTTGTGCGATAAGAGAAAACCTGTCTAACCGGTTCTCTAGAGTACGAAGACCGCATGATATTTGTACTCATCTTAGGCGTTATTTGTACTCTACGGAGTGTAGTTCGATATTAAATGTCTTTAAATGTATTACAGAGAATTAAATTTTTTTTCCGATTTTATAACTGTTGCAAGTGATTATCATAACGATCATCATTAACATCATCAAAATTACTGATACTTTAAGGTGCAAAATGCGGATGTAGGTTATACTTCTGTTACCTCGCAAGTCCTGTATTTTAATTTAGATTTGTCGCGCCAAGTCTATGTCTGCGGTTCATTTGCTCTTGTATTTTCGAAAAACCAAAAGAATGGACGAAAAAAATGATCACATATGAATTAATATCCATTCAGATAAAACAGTCCATTAGAAAATTTTTGAAACAAAGAAGGCTGGGCGAGACAATGCAAACCTCGATCGCACGTGACAAGAGTATGATGAATGAGGGGACATTATAAATAATGTACTGTTCAAGAATGCAATATGCATAGATCATAAATTTGTTACGCTGATTAAACAAACAAGAAGCAGTCCATCAGGAAGGAGTTTGCGTCTAAACACGAAATGCTTGGCGATATACCTCGCCTTGAAATTGCAGTTCCATGTGATGCCGACGTCTCTTAACAGAACAGCAGTCCAATGAATACAGAGCTCGGCCGTTTTATTTTTGTCGTTTTATTGCCACTGTTTGTCCTTATCGCTGGCGTTCTGCTTCAAGAATCTCAAGCACGTCTTGCAAAGTCACCATGCCTTAAAAAATGCCATCGCTTAGCTCAAAAAGCTGCTGGTTCAAAGGTTTGTACTCCATTTGTTTGTATTGTAATCAAAGGTTTACGATACTGACTGCACTGCAGATTACACTCAGGTTTGCGAACATTCCTCTTAGGATTGTAGATGCTTTCGTGTAAGGAAAACCAGGCCTATGAAGTTACAATGAATTTTGAAGCGGTTTCGTTCTAATTTCCTGTGTTTGATACTTGTTTTCGAGGGCTTCTAACAAAACACTTCATAACAGGTGAACGTGATTTGATTTCCAGGAATTTATGACATTGGGATCCGTGGATAGTGATGGTGGAGAGTGAATCTTATTGCCAATTTTTATTCACTTTCGATAGCTCAGGGTTGTATGTCACTGTTAGTGACACATGACATTCTGATTTCTACCTGGCAAGAAATTTTTATTGATATTATTCTCTTTTGAGCTACCAGTTAGTAACACAAGCTTAAGAGTACATCGCAAATAATGAGCATAATTCATCATAAAGGTCTTGCAATGCCAAGAAAGTCTAAAATTTGAGCTCACTCGTGCTATTCTTTAATAGATGTCTAGACAGAGTGATTAAGACAAGCTAAAAAATACCTTAGGGTTGGAAGTTCATTGCTACATACGCACTCTGCGGCGCAGTTTTCAAGCGATATTTTCGGCACCTTTTTCGTTAGAGGCTGTGTAGAGGGGGAGGGAAGGCTTGTCGACTAAGAGGTCATTTTGGAAATTTGTTTCAATTATTTTATTGTTGATTTTAAACTCACTTTCCAAAGGTAAGAAACCAATTCATTTCCATTTACGAAAACAATAACTGTGCAAATTAGCCATGATTAGCATAGCGTTTCCTAGTGATTGTCTTTTTCAAAATTCCTTGGCCAATTGAAAATTCACCTCCTCGTTGCGTAACTATCATATAAAAATCATAATTCAGCATTTAATATCGTCGATATCAGAGGAAAGAAGCAAGAGTTTATTCTTACTAAAAGGATAGAGAGAAAGAGTTCATTTACGAGATTTTTATCGATGTAAATGCCATTCAATATCGGCAAAAGCTGAAAGAGACACATTAGCACTAGTTATGTTTCATTCAAGCGGAAACAAGAATCTTCACCGACTTTGATATTGAAATTGATTGTTTTATGTTTCCAAAACGAGATTCTCTTGATATAGTACTAAAAATACGATGATCATTCCTTCCTGGCATATTTTACCATTCGATGGATAAATCTGTTTCGACACAGCCTGAAACATCACTCAGCAGTCAATAACTAAAGAAGTGATTTGCGGAAACTTTAAACAAAAATACGTTTTAGATGAGTGAGAACGTTCACGGTCAATTCTAGAACTTTGCAGATGAGACCTTTCAAACAAACTAAATGAGATTCTGTCGCATTATGATAATTTGTGGTATTTTTAACGAATGCCTTTTATTCAATTTTCCGGGAAAAAGAAAGCAATTAAGATTTCTACTAATAGATTTCTGCAGAGATTCTGTAGCAATAACTTCTTGTTATCTCAAACGAATGAGGACAATAATAATCATCAATGAAGCTTTCGAAAAATGGCTCTTTAGTCTTTAAGTATTTGAAATTTCCTTATGATCACATTTCGGACATGCAAATAACATTCCTGATTGTCAGAGGAAGGAAGTAGTTACGAATTTACATGATGCTTCCTATCGAGCTTTTCCTTATTCAACCTTTGCCTTTTTTGATATATCTCTGACATTCTTTTTAAGCCTTCTGACTTCATGCAACAGAATCATGCATCAAATCGTGTTTTCCTTGGGCCAATAAATCGGTGAATCTAGAATACTAAAAAACTCAGCCAGGCGATGATATAATCTTAACCCTTTGAGACATGATGGAATCCGATGTTTCTCGCATTGTTTTATCGGAGCAAACGAGGAAGCTATAAATGTCTATTTAATCCTAAATCTGCTCACAATTCATCTCACGCACTCAAACAATTCATTTCCAAGAAAATCATTCTTCATGTGCGCGTTACATTCTTCATGTGCGCGTTTGACTTTGCGTTTAAAGACAAATTATGAATCCTCTACACGCTTCGCAAAAAATACGAATTTGTTCCCTCTCTTACTAATTTTTGCTCAAGCACAGTTTAGAAAATGGCGTAAATTTCACGCGAAAGATATTTCAAGGCACAACGTAAATATGTGACATTATAATGAAGCTACAAATTTGGAGCTTAGTTACATTTACCATGAACGAAATTCGATTTCAGTCTGTCTAGTTAACTGGACTCCGATGTGCCAATCAATGATCAATTATCCCATTACCTTTCTGATCAGCAGGTACTCCTCCCGTGCAATAAACTTTGCAAAGCAAGGCAAGGTAATAGTGGTTTAAAGATATATCGTCTGTTTTCTCTTGATTACTTATTGTGCTTTATATCTGTTTAAATGTGATCTGCGAGATCCCCTCCTAATAAAAGTGCTAAAGCGAGTGGGCTCTCTCTTACTGTTGTTATCTTCAGTACCATTGCTATTGATATTATCATAATGATTATTACTACAACTGATGTTATTAAAACTGATGCAGGATATTATCTCCCCTCCCCTCAAATTTGTGCCGTCGTACTCCGCTTTTATCAAACTTCATTACTGGCTCCCTATTAGAATCTTTATTCTAAAGACGTATCCGCTTTGTCAGAAGATCCATCTAATCATTAACCCAAATATAAATGTTTAATCTTAATAGATTCTTGATTTTTATAGTTTTATGAGTGACTGTGCTCAAAAATTCGTTCCGTTCTCTTCCAAAAAATTTCAGTAATAAGAAAATCATTCGGGACTTGGTTGTTCGAATTTTCCTGCCTCTCTGGCATTCACTGTCAGAAAGTAGATTGGTCCACGCGACGTTCATCTTTGTCTGATTGGTCGACGTCATTAGTTTATTCTGGTTTTTGGACGCTTTATTGAAAATCGCCCCTACAAATGTTTTAATGGGTCCGTATAGTCCGTATTGTAGTGTCAATGCTGAATAAACTTTATAACGTGAATCTTAATTTGGAAAGTGTTCACTGGTTTAGTTTATACATGTACCTCCTAACGATTTCAGTGGCAGACCAACGAGGCCCAACTCAACATAGCTCCATCAAACGGAGCATTCAACAGGCATTGAAAGCCATTCCTGGTAAGCTGAAAATGGAATTACAGTAGTGTTAGGAAATAGCTCAAGATGTTACGTTTCAGTTTCGCATTATCATGAATTGAAGGCTGAAATTGTAAATACAAATAACAAATGGGTTTCAAATCCTTACATTCTTCGTCAGCACACCTAAATCATTTGCCAACGATGAAAAATTCTTTGGTGAGTTATCTTGTCCCTAATCAAAAAATTTCAATCGCTGCTACTTAAGTCACACTCTCTCTTGTTTTCAGGAGTTGTCATTTTTTCCTAATATTAATTATAAATATTGAGCATTGGAGACGGGCAGGTCAATAGTTTGAAAGTTACTTCCAGTTACTGTTTTTAGGGGTAGTTCGTTTGCTTTTGATTATGCTCCTAACTTGAGACCATGCCTTTAGAATGCTCAGTCTCTTCGCCAAATCAAAAAGTGGATTGGACCCCAAGCTATGTGAACGTGACCTTTGGACAATATAAAAAGACCAGCCACTGGTACGCCAACATATCTTGGACACCCTTAAATGGTGAGTGAAAAAAGCTTCGAGTAAGTTTAACCCGTTTTATTGAGTGTCGAGAGTAACTCAGTACTATAATGGCTTTGCTTTCTTTCGCCGTATTGATCAAGAAGCTCTTCCTATCCTAAACCAATCAGATCAAAAATTTAAAATTTCTTACTGGACTGTACTCGGTCATTCCATGTTTCCCGCGCTTCAGAGAGAAGAGTGGTATAAATGTTGATATGGAATCTCCCTCAATTTGCAAGGCAACTTGCTTGTCAAGCATTTTTATCCCTGTAAGATTCAAAATACATGCGAGTGGTTCTTAGAATTGATTTTTTTATCCTCGATCAGACTCTTTTGTGAAATTTTTTGACTGAAAAGCATCCAAAACAAGGGGTAATTTATTTTTTTTACAGTATTTCCTCCTTTGACCGCGCTTGCAAATTGTCTTCAGTGAAGGAAATGCCGCATCGAAAAAGCATAGTGATCTCTTGGTATGACCAATTTTTCACTTTGCGATTTTTTTTTTTTGTAGAAACTTACGGAAACTGGTCTGGCATAGTTGTTAAACTTTTGGTAAAAAATGCCCACCCACTCTTAAACGGCGTATACCCATCAATTTGTTCTCAACATCCAAAGGTAAGATGCAAAGTTACGCGGAAAATACACTTCTAATCCTTCTTATAGCCTGACCTGAATTTTGTTACTTATGAGGTGAACTCAAGAGGGTATTAAATATATCTTATTAACCAAGAGCGAGGGCCGTACTGGAAGAATATCGGCCCGTGGTCTTGACAGTACGGACCGAACGCAGCGAGGTCCGTACAAAAAAGACCGAG